GGTTTTCTTCGAACTCAATGGGCAGCTTCGGTCCATTCTGGTGAAGGACACCCAGGCAATGAAGGTACAGTGCCCTCATGGCCAGCCAGGTGGTAGGGATGGGCCTGGCCTGCTGTCTCATGTCACCTGTCTTGTTTGTAGGAGATGCACTTCCACCCCAAGGCTCTGAAGGATGTGAAGGGCCAGATCGGTGCTCCTATGCCTGGGAAGGTCATAGACATCAAGGTGGCAGCAGGAACCAAGGTGGTTAAGGGCCAGCCCCTCTGCGTTCTCAGTGCCATGAAGATGGAGACTGTGGTGACCTCACCCATGGAGGGCACTATCCGCAAGGTTCACGTGACCAAGGACATGACACTGGAAGGCGATGACCTCATCCTAGAGATCGAGTGATCTTCCTTCAGACTGGCAGCCTGGCCAACCCTACCCCAAGCCTCGCACTACCCCAAGCCTCGCAACAGAAGCTGTGCAGCCAGGGCAGGCCCAGGCCAGCCAGTACCTGAGAGAGGATGGCCAGGTCCTTGAGGTCCTGTCCCATGGGACAACACACACACTACCTGCATTGGCCCATTCCCTTCAGCCATTTGCTCACATATTCATCTCTTGCCAAATAAGGGTCTGCTCCTTGTGGGAGACTAAGTGTCCAGCAGGTGGCCTTGGGACCTGGGGGAGGTGGTTTAGGGGTTCTACCTCTGGGGGTAGGGGAAAGACCTAATTTGCAGGTCCTGGGAAATTTGTTCAATAAAAGTGGCCTTCCCTTGCCCTCCACATTATGTACAATCTAAATCTACCCCATCTCTAGTTCTGTCCCCAGCCTGGGGCGGTGTGGGTGGGTTTCTCAAATTCCCATGAGATCTAGGTCAAATGTTTTACTTTATAAAGAAATACTGGAACTCAGGAAAGTAGATCCCTGTAGCCTGTCTGTCCAGTATTCTCAGGGTCCTGGCACTTGACTTTGGGGGTCAGTGGACCTAAGATGTATCCTCTCTGGACCCCAAGTTCTAAATGTACTATACCCCCTCACCTCACAGCCACCAGTTTCTACACAGGCTGGAGAAGAGAGGAGCTCGGCAGGGAGGCAGGTGTGTGATTGATAATTGCCTTTACAGCTGTGAGTGTGGCTGTCACAGCCAACCTTGGGGGCAGGGAGTCACTGGGGAATGAGTACATGTCTATCCTCAATCACCAGCTTCATGGAATAGGGTTCAGAACAACTTTGAACATAGGAGACTTAAAAGGATATTCACAAATTAAAAAAAAAAAAAAAAAAAAGTTAAGGAAAAAGGGCTAGCCAGGAAAACAAAAACAGTTGGAGAGGATGGTGAGTAGGTAGAAGAATGCTGGTCCCAAAGAACCTTGAGATGCTGTGTTGCTTGACAGAGTCCTTGCCACTTGCAGGGCTGTGACCTTTGTCCTGGATGAGACAGAGCGGCAGGAGTCCTCTACTGTTGTGGGATGGAGAAGGGTCCTCTTGTGCTCTGGCCCTACATCCTAGTGTAGAATAAGGCTCTGGAGCTACCTTCCCAGCTCACAGCCACGGGTCAGAGCTACTCCATGACCTCGGTAGCAAAGGTTCAGGCCCAATGATGAGATGGGTTTCCACCTGGTACCTCCTAACTCAGTCACAGGAGCTCAGGAAAGAGTAAACCACAGCCTTGGCAACTAAAGGCCCCACCCATCCTCTGCTGTTGGGACCTGCTTGCCAGGCTCCCCTGCCCACATTAGCAGTGTTCAAGGTAGCCAAGAGACGGAGTGTACATATTCCCAAGAGTTGCCTTGGGTTCTCACCAAGATCCAAGTACAGATTCCCAAAGGCTCAAGACCATGTTACCCAAGTTAAATCTCTTTAATATCCCAATACAAAGTCTTGATGCAAAAAGACAATGAGAAAACCCTGGGAAGTTGGGAGGAGGAGTTTTATAAATAAACCCACCGAGCAGCCTTTCTTGGGGGTGGGGGTGAGGGGGCAAAGGAACTAAGAGAAGCAGCATCCAAAGAGGCAGTGCACAGCTCCTAGGAGTTGTCCTTGTCCCCTCGTGTTCAGCTGCTCTTCAACTGCTCTCGCAGAGAGGCTGCACCCTTTGGATATCTGCTCCTTTCTCTTGGTCCCTGGGGGTCAACTAGCTCTGGCTTCAATCCCCTACAAAAATTCCTGAGATCTCGGGGACCCCAGCCAGCCCCTCCCTTGCAGTATTCCGTGATAAGGAGGGGCTGCAGAGCCCATCAGAGTTCACTGGAGTATGCACAAGAGTGATGGTCAGGAGCACAGCAGGGTCTCTGAGGCTCCTGTTCGTTCCAAAAGCACGCAAAGGGGAAGGCTGCCATAGAGCTTGGGGTCCGTCAGGGGCTGAAGCAGAAGCAGGAAGAGTCCCACACCAAGAGCATAGCCTGCCAGCAGCAGCCATTTCTGTGGATGCTCCAGAGCTGCACACACGGCAGGGAAGCCCATGTAGTTGCAGAAGGAGTGGCAGAGAACCGGCCCTATCAGGTGTCCTGGAGGGGGGACACAACACATGGAACAGCCCCACCACTTCTGGCCCTTCTAGAGTTAGTGACCCTTGTCCCCGAACAGGGCCCAATGACCCCACCCCACCCATTCATATGCCCGTCAGGACTTCTGCTTCTACCTTTCAGACCTTAAAAAGCTGAGGGCCCTGGCTTAAGTCTGCCTCAAGGACTGGCAGAAGAAACGTCCACAGTATTCCCCTTCTCCCACCCACATCCGTGGGCCCCCGGGAATGTATGAAAAACAGGACCAACCTGTGCGGATGAAGAGGAAAGCCGTGTAAGCACCAAAGACAGCAGTGTAGGAGAACTGGAACGCTGGAGATGGAGGCTTCGAATGACCACACCCGCATGCCCACCCTGTCCCACATCCAGAGACCACCCTTTCCTCTTGGCAGCAGCTGCACACCCACCATCTACGGCTGCTCTCTGTACCCTACCTCCCAAGATCAGTGGTCCCCATGCAACACTTATAGCCCTGTATTTCCGGTCCTTTCTGTAGAGTGGCTGTCAGGGATATAACATCCTAACCCCCAACCATCCCGGGCAAGCTCCCCAGGCTCACCTGCAGACAAAAAGATACTTCCCACACTGCTTTGGCGGAAACGTAGCTGCTCAATAATGTGATGAAAATGGGCTGGGAGGAAGGCACAAACCACATCGTATTATTCTGGCCTGCTATTTGGCGCTTCCCTCACCCTAAGCCCCATTTTTAGCCCTCATGCTGGGAACATCTTCGCTGGACCAGGTAGACTCACCAACTCCAAAAAAGAGTGGGCAGGTGAACACAGCGGGGCCCAGACCTGTGCATGGTGCTAACATGGGCAGCATACAAGCCCGGAACACCAACTCCTCTGTCAACGGTGCAATAACTTGGTTTCGTAGCCAGCGCATGTCTGTGAGGCAGCGGGCCCAAGAGCGTGGGGCTAGGGTAAATATTCAGGATAAGTAATGAGTGCCCAGTTACTAAAAGTATAGACTCACTCCCCCCGGGGCCCTCTCCCACAGGTTTAATCTGGCCAAACTCAGGTCAGGAATCCTGAGACTCAGAATGGGCAAGGGAACAAACCTTATAAGACCTAATTTCAATGTCTTCAGAAATAATTGACAACAGTAAGGGAAGGTAACAGTAGACGAGGGAGCCATGGTAAATTCTGACACCAAACAAGGCCAGTATGGGGATCCCGAAGGATGGAAATGCAAGGGAAGGTGCTGTCTGACCCATATCAAGGCCTCCTTGAGCATCATAAACTTACAAGTTACCCAGCAATATGATCCATTTTACTGATGAAGAAACACACCCAGAGAGGTGACATCTCACCTCTTCAGTCCAGATCACATCTCACTGACTCCTTTCCCCAGCGTCCTGGACTGCCTGTGCCTACCTTTTCCTCAGTCTTGAAGACTCACCCAGGACAACCTTCAGCCCATCTGTCAGGTCACACGGGCAATCCATAGAGAGCTGCATCAGTGGACCCAGGAATAGGATCTGGGGACAGAAAAACAGATCAAATGAAATACCACAATCCAAAGACCTTGCTCACACCAGTGCCCTTGGTCAGTGTCATGAGACCTCAGGTTTCCCGAGTTCTAGGACTTCCCAGGCGTGCACACCAGGGGCCATCTACCAAAGGCTGGACACAGGGCATTTCATTACACCTGTGACAACAGAGTAGGAAAAGTGAAGCAGGACTCACCATAGTTAGCAGCAGGGGCAGCAGAGCTGCTGGGAAAATGCCCTCCAGCCTGAAGCCCATCAGGGTGAGCAGTGATGTGCCTGGCTGAGCCACAGGAAAGGGGGCATCAGTGATGTTCCCTCCCACAAAAAAAACTTGGATTCTTTCCCTGGTTGCCCTGTGCCCCGCCTCCTTCGCACCTGGATGCCAGTGAGTTCCCTCCAGAGCAGCACGCAAAGAGGGGACAGGCTGGAGACCACCAGGACACTGGTGAATCGCCGCTTGATGACAACAGGGTGGTCCCTAGGAAGGGAACAGTAAGTTGAGGAGGCCTGTAGCAGCCACTTGCCAATGCGGCCCCACCCCCGTCCGGCCCAAGCTCCGCCCGCAGCCCCGCCTCGCGGGGGCGCGGATTCCGGCCGCGCGCGCAGCCTCCGCACCTGGGCAGCTCGCTCTTCCACACGTAGAGGCTGCCCACATAGGAGCAGGCGAGACTGAAGCAGGAGAACACGGACACCCAGCAGCACAGCCCCGGGCCCGGGCCGCTCAGCGCGGCTGACTCGGGCTGCCGCTCCGGCCGCGACACCGACAGTAGACGCAGCCCGTCCCCGCCCAGCGCCGCCATCACGCCCGGACCCGTGGCGCGCAGCAGTGACGCGACTGCGTGGATGACGTCAGGCGGCGGCGCGAGCGGCCGGTTCCCCCCGGGGCGCCCCTCCCCTTGCACTGTAGCCGATTTGCTGTGCTAGGAGCAGCTTTATTGAACCCTAAAAGGCATAACACACGTGTCCCAGGCATCTTTGACCAGCTGGGATTCTCAGTAATGGACGCTTAGAACCTGCGTCCCGGACTCAGCCACTCGGACAGATTGGAGACCTCTTGCAGCCACAAGTCCTGCGGGAATAGACAGTGGTGAGGATCCAGCGGCAGCAGCCCAGGCCCGCGCCCGTCCTGCGCCCTCCATGGTACCTCCAGGCCGCCCGCAGGGCTCGCTGCGTCAGGCGCCGGGGCCCTGCCGTGGGCTGCTTGGGCCTGTGATCCTCTGGCATTGGGGGAGGCCGCGGTGGGCTCGTGGTTGCGTGTGGCGGACCCTGGAGGGCTCAGGTCCTTGGCGGGGCACAGAGCTTGCGATTCTTCCCTGCCCTGGTTGGGGCTTCTCTTGAGCCTCTTGTTTTCTGCTAGCCCGCTGGTCTCTAGGAAAAGACAAGTTCATTTCATCTTGCTCCCGCAGCCTTGTGCTAGCGCTAGATTCTTGAGGCAGGGGGACTGGGCAAGGGCATATTCTAAATGAACTCTCCCACTCTATCCTTCCAGATGAAATCTTTCAATGCCTGACCTTCCGTAGCGTCCCCTCCTTTTTTAGCTGAACCTTGATAGGGGGCATCTATTACTATCCGCGCAGATTGTGTAATATGAATTTCAAGCTCCAATTGCTTCGGGCAGAAAACAGCTCAGTCTCTCTGGTGTAGTACTAAGCAGTTACTACAGAGGCAGCTTTTTTGTTGTTGATATTTAAACAGGCTGTCGTGCAAGGCTGGTCTTAAACTGAGCACTTTGCTTCTATCTCCCAAACGCTGGGATTACAGATACGAGTCAACGTGCTTTAGCCCAGTGATTCTCAACTTGTGGATCCAGACCCCTTTGGGTCGAAGCCCTGTCACAGGGGTTGCACATCAGATATTTAATTGATTCGTAACAATAGCAAAATTACAGTTATGGAGTAGCAACGAAAATAATTTTTCAGTGGGGGGATCACCACAACATGAGGGTTGCATTGCAACATTAGGAAGGTTGAGAACTACTGTTAGCTTATACGTAATAGGTACACTTATGGAATAACAAAAAGGGAGGGGAGTCAAACTCAGGGTCTTGACAACAAACACTCTGCCACTGAGCTGCACTGCCCCCCCCCCAACCCCTTAGGTGCAAATTTACAGCCTCCAGAGCAGGTCTCTGGGGATGTCAGCTAACAAATACCCTTTCCTTAGAACAGTTAGTGTGCACACATTATTAAGTACAATGCACAGATTTCTAGTCCTCAAAAGTAGCTTTAAAGTAGGAACGCATGTCACTGCTGCTCAAGACCCACAATCGCTGTGAGAGCCAACCAATTCCAGCAGGTGGCAGCATACCCAAAGTGCACTGAGATAGTTGGACCCATCCAAGCCACGGTTTTACTTCGGCTTTGAGCCCAGGATTTTACCCATAAATAAACCTGGAGCCTTACCTACAAGTGACTCCGGGACGATATTCTCATGCCAGTTTTCCGTGCTCTGGGTGGAATGACTTTTCTCTGGAATCAGGTGCTTTAACAGAAATTTCAAGTGAGTTTTGCAGACATTTGAATGAGCCTTGGTGAGACACTAGTGCTTGGTGACTTAATGGATTTGTAGGGATGTTGTTCACCTGGAACTCCCTCTTCTTCCTAGCTTATCAATCTCTATTTGGCCCCCAACACTCAAAGTGTCCTCCTTCCGTGGACCCTCATGCAGCTCACACTCTAGCCATTCCCAGCATATCTGTTCCCTGAACTTCAGATACTTGCTGTAGGCCTGCCTCGACTCAGGCTCTGAACTGTGGCACTATTCATCATTTTATTTTCTTGTGTTCATCTTTCTACTCAAGACTCATTTTTACGTATATTTGTGAGTTTCTGTGTGAATTATGTGTGTAGGAGGCCAGGAGAGGGTGTCAGGTCCCCTGGAGTTGGAGTTAACATGTCTGTGAGCTGCCTGATGTGAATGTTGGGACCCACACTTGGGTCTGCTCCAAGAGCAGCGTGGTCCCTCAGACACAGCCATTTCTCCAGCCCTTGTTCATGTAGTCCTGGCTGTTTGGAACTTGAAAGGCAGATCAGGCCAGGCTCAAACTCACAGAGATCCTCCTGCCTTTGCCTCCTGAGTCTGGGGTTAAAGGCGTGTATCACAATGCCTACCCATGTCTATTGAAAATATTTTTGGGGGGAGGGGGGACAGGACCTCATATATCCCAGGGTTGACTTTGAATGTCTGATCATCTATCTCTTCATGTATGTAAAAAGAAATACTTTAAAAAGATGAAAAATGACTATTTGCATAGCTCAAAAAAGTACATGAAAGCCCTAGGTACATACAACCCCTAGCACTCCATAGAATGGCATAGTAGCACACGCATGTAAACCCAGCATGCAGGAAATGGAAGCAGAATGAGTTCCAGATCATCCTCAGCTACATAGGAATATTAGCGCAGTATATAAAGGCCGCTACATAGGATACACAGTGGAACTCTGCCTCAGAAGCAACAGGAAAACCCCACCTGCAATCTCTTCTTGAAACAACACCATGGGGAAAGTGGACTGAGGCTTAAGAGAAGGAAGCTGGGGCTCAGTGCAGTTCAGCAGGTACAGGGCTTGGTCTCAGTGTGATGGTGCTCTGGAGTTTGGTGGAAGGGGGACACAGCACTGTGAATACCCTTAAAAGCACCTTTAAAGTTGCATATTTAGAATGATAAATCTTAGCTGGGTGGTAGTGTCGCATGCCTTTAGTCCCAGGACTTGGGAGGCAGAAACGGGTGGATCCCTGTGAGTTCAAAGCCAGCTTGGTCTACAAAGTGAGTTCCAGGACAGCCAGGGCTATGCATAGAAACCTTGTCTCGAAAACAACCAAAAAGGTAAATCTTATGTAAGAATTACAGCACAGTAAAATACATTCTATAATACACTGCTTTTTTTTCTTTCTTTCTTTCGCTCCCCCTACCGCCTTGAAACAGTCTCACTATATAGTTCTGGCTGTCATGAAACTCACTATGTAGGCCAGGCTGGCCTTGGTCTCCCAAGTGCTGGGGCAAAAGGTGTGCACTAGCATACCTGGCATCCTCATAAAAATTTTTATGTTATAGAGCTATGCAGTTAGTCAATTGCTCATCATTTCTGTGGGTGGGTTCCATAATCTCTCCCAATATACCAAACTTCTCAGATGCACACATCCTTAAAGGTGTGTGCCACTATACCTAGCCTACATTGTTTATTAATACAAGTCCTAACTTGTGTAATTACATTCCCAGCAACACACAAAGGGTAAAGATTGCCCCCAAGAAACAGTGCAGTTTCAGTTTACTCTAGCCTGGAAAGTCTTGTGTAACAGACACGTCTTTCTCCTTTTAGAAACTGGTCTTACTAAAGGATGACCCACCTGAGATGGGTAGCACTGTAAAAGTCTTGCAAACCCATCAATATCTGGGCCCCTAAAGAGGCACCCCAGGTCTCAAAATACAGCTCCTTGGAGCATTCAATTCTAGTCCAGACCCTAGCAAATGACCTTTCCCTAGATAACTACCCATTTCTCTTTAAACTATAAATGTATTAATTCTATTAGGTGAGTTGGCTAGTTACCATGAAAACAGAGTGATTGGCCCACAAGTAAAGAATTTGACCTAGCATCTTGATCATGTAGTTTATAGCTGAAGCCACTGGGTGCCACTATTGTGCCACCAATGAACTATCACAAAGTGGCTCATACTAGGGGGAAGAAGTAATAACAAAGGATCTATGTGCACTCTTCTTCCATGGGCTTGCCACTCAGTCCTACAAAGGCACAGTGTGATCAGGCTTTGAAGCCTTGCCAGCTTCTAGCTGTGTGGCTGGCAGGTTTTAAGTTTTACAGTTACCTTATCTATAAGATGGACAACTAAGAACATCTTTGTGGAGACTGAAGTGGAAATACAGATTAGGTATTCTGTAAACGCTCCTTTCTTCACGATGCCTGAGTTCACTATGGATGGCCCTGAGACCATGCGCCATCACTAGAGCCAAACAGGCTCCAGTAGTCAAGAGGTCAGACCTCACTGGCATTTCAGAAGCAGACACACTCCTAGATCCTGAGGGGTCTTCCTGGATCCTAATGGTGGCTCATGCTATACTCTCAAGATGTGCCTGGTTGTAGTGAACTGGATTGTGCCCTTTCCCACATGTCCACATCCTAGCACCAAGCCACTGTGAATGTGAGATTATTTGGAAAAAGGGTCTTGGGAGATATAATTAAGGATTCAGAGATAGGAGCACAATGCATGCTGGATTCAGGGCAAGTCATCCTAAAGAGCAAGGATAGGTTAAGATGGAAAGAGAAACTGAAGTTATATAAGCCACAAACCAGGAAGCCAGAGGGGCAGAGTGGATTCTCTCCCGGTGTCTCTGAGGGAAGCACAGCCCCGCTCACATCTTTGGATGTCTGACTCCCAGAACTGGCAGAATAAATGTTTTTAAGTCATAAGTCTCTGGCAAGGTCTTACAGCACCTCAGCAACTAATGCAGTAGGATAAGCTTGACGTGCTTGAGGTGCAGCCATCAGCTCTCTAACTTGCTAAAAACCGGTGAGGCTTTAGAGTGAGCCAGCTGAGAGAGCTGCAGACAGCTGGTGAAAGCAGGGAAAGGAGCAAACCCAAGAGATCTCAAGACCCTCCAGGCCTGAGCGCCTCATTCCCCATCTTCCCCATCCAGTCAGGTAGACCAAGCCACAACGGGAAAGCAAATGCAGAGAGCATGTCTGAAGGCCCTGTTCTTTCAGAAAGCCTATTAAAGTCCCTCTAGGAAGTGAATGATGAGACACAGTCTGAGGGGCTGGAGAGATAGTGCAGCAGCTAAGAGAACTTGTTTCTCTTGGAGACGACAGGAGTTTGGTTTTCGGTATCTGACTCCAGCTCCAAGGGATCACATGTGCAAATCAATAATTCTCCCTTTATGGTTGAGTAATGCTCCACCATACAGATACACATCAAGCTGCTTAGCCACGAACTCTAGCCACAAGATAGGTCCCAGCTTGGGGTTCCAACAAACAGGTACTGTGAACATGGATACACTATATTCTGTAAGACATAGTGGGATAGCTAGGGCAGATAGGTATATGTGTAACTTCTAAAGAAACTGCCAAATTGCCTTCCAAAAGACTTGCCTGCCTCTGCCTTGTTTAGAGACAAGGTTTCACTATGTTGCCCAGGTTGGGCCTAGGCTAAATGATCCTCTACCTCAGCTGTTAGAGCTGAGGCTACAGGCACATATCACCATGCCAGTGGTCTTTTTATTCCCCATATCTGTTTTTATTTGATTTTTTTTTTTTTTTTTGAGACAGGGTTTCTCTGTGTAACAGTCCTGGCTGTCCTGAAACTCACTTTGTAGATCAGGCTGGTCTTGAACTCATTGAAATCCACCTGCCTCTGCTTCCAAGTGCTGAGACTAAAGGTGTGTATTACCATCACCCAGCTCTGTGGTTATTTTTGAACTAGAAATATGATTTCTTCCCTAAGGTTATGGAAAGGTTAAGCAGTGTCTCTAATGATACCAGCAACGACTCAGCGGTAGAAGTGGATCTCAGTGCCCTGCCATGCTCTTGGCTTCTGTGACATTTCTCTGGGCCAAGGCATCTTTGCTGAAAGGCCAGCCATACGATCTGAAACATTTGTACGCATCCACCCTGAATTAAGTTTCCACATTAAAAGGGGAGATTCCCAGTAAAATACTGAGTATTATCATTACACTTACCTGTTCTGTGTCACATGAGCAGTGGTGTAGAAGTCGGTTCTGGAGGGTATCATAAAATATTTTGTGTAGTTTGGTCCCAAATTCCTGCGTGTCAGCTGCCTGAAATTCATAAGAAATACAAAGTGCTGAGTTCACTACTGGAAAGCAGAGGGAAGCACTGTAGAGGCGAGGAAGGCAGGTCATATGTAACGTAAATGTAAATACATCGTCCACTGCATTTACAATCGCCATGGGCTCCTGGAGGGGCAGAGCAGGGCCTGAGACACCTGGTATGTGGCTCCCATATGTCTCCCCACCTAAGCAAGATCCTTCAACCAAGATCTTTGTCTACAGCAGATAAATATCCCAGGGATCCCTCTGGCTCATGACTGGGTTGTAAAAGACCCCCTTCCATAAGATGAGTAAAAGAGCAGTGATTCCACTGAGGAATTCCATAGGTAGGAGGTCTTCCTTAGACAAGCCTTCTGGGGAGAAGAGAACCAGAGAAGGCAGTCTGCATCAGGGCACAGATCCGCCTTTGACACTTTAATACAGGACTGTGGGTATCACAGGTAAAGAACCTGAAACCATACGCTAACTTAAAAAGGCTGTATCTTTATATGTGTGCTTGCGTTGGGAGCCACCTGATGTGAGTACTTGGAACTAAACTTGGGTCCTCTAGAAGAACAACAGTTTCTCTTGTAACTGCTGAACCATTTCTCCAGCCCCTAATGCATTAATTTATAGATGAGAAATTGAAGTTCAAAACGAAGTGGCCCTCTCGAGATCGGGTAGGACAGAAGCCAGGGCCACTCTTCCTACACCATCATCCACATGCCCAAAGGTGAAGCCACAACTTAGAGGCACTGGCTTATAAAGGCACTGTTCTTTGTGTCACTAGTTGGAAGCACTGTATTCTAGGAAGCAATTTTAGATAAAACAAGACACCACAGGAAGTATTAACTGAAGCACTGTTTATATACAGCAATAAATGTTAACCACTTAAACACCCAACACTAGAAGACTGGGGTATTAGATTAAGTAATAAAGTACACTATTTATTAACTAAATCAAATTCTAACCTTGTTGAAATTGGTAAAATGCCATTTTATATACAAAAATATAGTTTCTTGGTTTTAACTATACAATATGAGATGTGTGAAAATTAAAATTATAGTGATAGAAATTAGTATTTACATTTTTCTATGTATTATATTACTTTTTACGGAAAAAGGCACAAGAAAACGAAGGAGCAGCTGCTAGGTAAGGAAAGCAAAGGCAGGTAGAGCATTGTGAATTCAAGACCAGCCTCATCTACACAGCCAAAGCTGGTCATTGAGGAAAAAGGCAGCAGCAACAAATAGGGCGTCTGTGATCTGCTGCTAGTCCCAGCTGGTCATCATATAATGCCAAAGGAGAAAGAATAATAACACCTGCTGAGAACCCGTCAAGCCTAATGTACTACAACAGATTTAGTAAACTAAGATAAATGCTAAACATTTCTTTCTCACAGTTTTGGGTTTGTGATGGTGATGTGATGGGTTTGTCACCTTGACAAAATTTAGAATCACCTGGATGGAAGGCCTCTGGACATACTAGTGATTATTCTGATTACATTAACTGATGTGGGAAGACCCTTCTTAACTGTGGGCAGAACCGTTGGTTTCCCCCCAGCAGATCATTAACTGTATAAACAGAGAAATGAGTAGACTACTGGCATCACATTCATTGCTCTATCTTAGTTTCTATTTCTGCAGTAAAGTACCATGACCAAAGCAACTTGGGGAGTTAATAGTCTGTTTCATCTTACAGCTCTTGGGTAACAGTCCCACGGAGGGAATCCACGGTAGGGACTGAAGGCAGGAAAAGCCATGGAGGAACCCTGCTTACTGACCTTTCCTGGCTTGCTCCGTCCACTTTTTTATGACCCAAGACCACCTGCCCAGGGATAGCACCATCCTACTTCATCAATCGTTAATCAAGAAAATGTCCCACAGGCTTGTCTGCTGAGCTGATTTTCCTCAGTTGAGGTTCCCTCTTCTCAGATGACACTAACTTGTGTGAAGCTGACCAACCACTAGCCAGCACACTACTCTTCTGACTACAGCTGCAGAGTGATCAGCTGCTCTAGTTCTTGCTGTCCTGACTTTCACCATGAACTGTGCTGAGCCAACCCCTTCTCCCTCAGGTAGCTTCTGTCAGAGTTTATTAACACAGCAATATTAGAAACCAAGGTCTGTGCCAGCACAGTTGGGCTCTGGCCCTCTTCAGGGTCTTCCTGTGTCCTCACATTGCAGAAGGGTCAAAGATTTCCCTGGAACCACTTGGCTTTTTTAATTTACTGGATGGGGTGCCGTGACACACATGGGGGAACAGTACAACTTGTGGGAGTTGGTTTTCTCCCAATGACCAAAGTCAGTTTGTCATGCTTAATAGCAAGTCCCTCTACCCACTGCCATCTCACCAGCTCCTGAGGCCACTTAAATTAAGAAATAATCCTGGCCATGTAGTAATGGCTCACACTTTTAATCCCAGCAGAGGCAGAGTTAGGTGAATCTCTGTGAGTTCAAGGCCAGTCTGATCTATGGACTGATTTTCAGGACAGCCAGGGCTACACAGAGAAACTCTGTTTCAAACAAACAAATGAACAAACAAAACAAAACAACAAAAAACTAATCCTGTTGAATATTCATAAAAAAAAAGCTGCTTAGATATGGGTTTAAGCCAATAGAAAGCCTTTATTAGCTGGCTGGGTATTCGGGATCCTAGTGTAGCCCCAAGTCTTTCTCAGGGTGAGCACAAAAACCATGTCCTGGGTTGACATACTTGAGTTAACAAGAACAGCTAGCCAGAAGCAGAACTGCAAAAGCCACAAAGCAAGGTCAGTACACTGAGAGACTCCCCCATAACTATGGACTTTGATGGATTAAGTCTTTGCTTTAGTTTTGGCCGGTGGTTCTGTCAACATGCTGAGTTTTACAGCCTGAATGGTAGTTCTGCCATGGAATCAGTTGCGTTAAGGCTTTGGGACCCACTACGGTCTGGGGCCCTGTTAGAATCCCATTCATATGAACACCTCTCAGAGAATGTAACAGCCAACTGAAGAGCACAACCTAAACTCTTAAAAAAAAAAAAGTTTACTTTAGGGCACACACCTTTGATCCCAGTAGTTGGAAGGGAGAGGCAGGAGGATATCTATGAATTCAAGGCCATCCTAGTCTACATAGTGAGTTCCAGGACACCCATGACTTTTTACATAGAAAGACCCTGTTTTAGGTGACCCAAGCTAACGGGAATTCACTGACTCTGGATTGACATCGGGGACACCCAAGTCTTATGGAAGAGCAGCTTTTTTTTTTTTTTTTTTTTTTTCCCGGTCTTTCAAAGTGTGTAGCCTGGCTGTCCTGGATCAGGCTGGTCTCAGAGAGATCCCTCTGCCTCTGCCTCCAGAGTGATGGGATTAAAGGTGTGTACCACCACTTAACTGCTGAGCCATCTCTCCAGCCCCAACAAATACCTGAGAACACTCAAAAGCTGCTGCTAGTAGGATAACAGAGGTGTTTCTCTGGGCACTGTAGGTAGGCCTGCTACAGTGCCACTCCACCTGGTCTGCTGACCCCACCTGCACCTGCTAACCTCAAGAGCCTGGAGGCATGTGTTCCTGAAGCTGCTGCAGGTGCTTCCAGTCAGCACACTCATGATGGAATTCACAGCTACAGAGAGGGAGCCCTGCAGTCTCTGATGAGCCTGGAGTAAGGAGGAAACCATATTAGTCCCAAAGCACTGGCTCTGAGAATGCCAAAGGGGCAAAGATTCCAGTCAAGGAAGAACATCCACAGTTCCACTACCAATACTTAATATGATAATAATGTTGTTTTCTGTTGTGACAAGGACTTTACAATTCAAAACATTCTCTTCCATAGAGATTGCATAATGATATGGCATACCAAGGAAAGACAATACACTGGGTAGGGATGGGGAAATGTAGCTCAGCTGATAGAATGCTTGCCTAGCAATCATGAGACCCTGGACCAGCACAGAATAAACCAGGTGTGGTAGCACATACCTGTAATCCCACACCCTGGAGGTAGAGGCAGGAGGATCAGAAGGAAAGTCAAGGTCATTTCCCACTAGGAGTTTGAAGCTAGCTTAGGCTTTATCAGTCCCTGTTTCCCAAAAAAAAACAGACATTTGGCACTGAAGAGATGGCTCAGTTATGACCATGAACTACTCCAGTGGCCTCCATGCCCCCACACAAGCACATCATAAGATATTTTGTTTGTATGCTTGTCTCTGTGTGTTATGACAGGGTCTTTCTGATAGCAGTGCCTGGCTAGAAACACACTGTGTAGACCAGACTGGCCTGGACTTCAGACATCCACCTGTCTCCACCTCCTGAAACCTGGGATTAAAGGTGTGTGCCACTATAGCCGGCTTTTGTTTTTATTTTATGTGTATGAGAATTTCTGCATGAATATCTGTGTACCATGTGTGTGCCTGGTGCCAGTAGAGGCCAAAAGAAGGCAACAGATCCCCTGGAACTGGAGTTACAGTTGGGAGCTGCCTTGTGGGTGCTGGGTATTAACTGGGTCTTCTGGAAGAACAGTCAGTGCTTTTAACTGCTGACCCATCTCTCAAGCTCTAAAATTAAATCTTTTAAAAAAGCAAACAAAATATAAATTTTTGTAAGGGTATTATTGTTTGACTGTATGACAATGTGTGTTTGACAGGTCACGGTGCATGTATGGGGTCAAAGAGCAACTTCACCTAGTTGGTTCTCCCACTCCACCTTTATGAGTCCCTGGGATTAAATGCAGTTGGTCAGGCTGGTGCTTTGACTGCTGAGTCATCTCACTCACCCCTTACTTCGTAGCAGGGTCTCACACTATAGCTAGGCTGGCCTAGGACTCATTCTATAACTCAGGCTGGCCTTCAACTTTCAGTAATCCTGCTTCAGTCTTCCAAGTGCTGTGATTACAATCAGAAGCTACTAGACCCAGCTCAACTTTGTTTTTGTTGTTTGTTTTTGCTCTTCAGTTGGCTGTTTTTCCTACAATGGGTGGGTATAGGAAGTAGGAAATATATTACTAAAAATGCACAGATTGGAAGAATTCAGTCTGAATAGAAGCAAGTGTGACATTATGAAAGAATTGGGAAATGAGGGACAAGGGTAAGGTTTACTGATGCCTCAGCTCCAGGGAATATGTGGATTGAGTTGCACAGATACAAAGAGACATGGCTGGGTGGTGGTGATGTACACTTATAATCCTAGCACTTCGGAGGCAGAGGTAGGCGGATCTCTGAGTTTGAGACCAGCCTGGTCTACAGAGTGAGTTCCAGGACAGCTAGGACTACACAGAGAAACCCTGTCTTGTAAGAAAAAGGAAAGAAGAGGAACAGGTGTGACAGCTCTCTCTCTCTCTCTCTCTCTCTCTCTCTCTCTCTCTCTCTCTCTCTCTCTGTGTGTGTGTGTGTGTGTGTGTGATGTGTGGCTGCTCACACATACACTGGCCTACCTAAGTGTTAGGATCTCACTAACGTGGTAGAACAGAAGACACATCAAAGGAGCTTGTACATTCCCAGGTTATAATTTATTACCTGTGCAGCCTGGTGATGCCGCTCCAGGACCTGGTCCACGGCTGCCTGGACAGAATCTTGCACTGTGCTGCGGCTCTCTGAGAGAATGGCACTGAGATGAGCTGTGAGCAAAGCATGGAGTCCTAACAGGAGGAGAACACAGGGGTCCATGAATGAGGACGACAGAGTTCAGGACTTCTATTCACATGCTATGTCAGGACTGGAGCTGGGGTAATGCCTCCTGAAGCAGCTACTTCCACCTCTCCACAAATAACTAATTTTTAAGAGACAGCCCCTCCAAATTCCCATTTGCAAATAAAAACAAGCTTAGGAAAATTAAAGTGAGTCACATTGCTTTGGAAGGAATAAATGCTTAATCCACACTACAATGACAGCTGTATCTTGCAAAGGAAAAGGAAACCTCTTAGCAGTTGTCTAACCCTCTTCCATTCCTACTTGAGTATCACTGTTAAGTGAGCCTCTGCTGTCAGCCGTGTGCCATTTCTAAAGGCTAAAACTTACAAAACTGACCCTGGGAAGACAGTTTAAAATGGGGTGAGGGCTCAGTTGGTAGAGTGCTGGCCTAGCATGTAAACAGCCCTGGGTTTGATCCCCAGCATCACATAAACCAGGCACAGTTAATTCCACACAGAGCTTGAGGCTACCTGGGGAATACATGATCCTGTCTCAGACTCATTAAACATAAGCAAAATGGAGGCGATCTCAGATAAAGTAACCATAGTTACCCGGTTTAGCATCACTCAGAAACTGACGTGGAGCTGGATAGGTGGCTGGAGGACTGACTATGTTCAATTTCCAGTATCCACCTGGTAACTCACAACTGTCCGTAACTCCAGTTCCAGGGGATCTGACCCCTGTAATGAACCTCTGACCTGAGGATGCTAAGCACCCATGTGCTATATGGTATAGCACCCATGTGGTATATATACATACACACACTTCCATTCATGCACGTCACATCACACACACACATACACACACACACACTTTTTTTATAAACATAAGTGTCAGAAGGAGCAGTTCCTATCACAGGGCACCATAATGCCAGTCAGAGAAAGTTATATATGGACTTAAAAGGAATCTGGAACTAGAAGTAAGAGAAATAGATAAAGGTCGTTTCTTATTTTTATCACCAACTAATGGTGATGAGGTAACTTCCCTCTTCTCATTTCAGTGCAGAAAATAGCTTTGCTTATGTGTTCTCTCAGATGCTGTCTAGATAAACTGAGGTCATGTAAAATGAAGTATTCTGAAACACACAAGCAATGTGCAAAGGGGAATACTGCAGTTGCTATGGTGATGGAGCAGTGGATTCTATTTTATATACTCTGGACCTAAGAAGAACTCAAGAAATGAGAAGTTTTTGAAGGCAGACATTTAATTAAAAAAAAAAAACCAACAAAGTTATTCCTAAAACTGCTCCTACCACCAAATGTGTTTGGCACTGCAGCAAAATAAGGAGTTAATCACAGAAGTTACCCTGACAAGGTGGGTGGGAGGCAGCAGCTGATTTTTTTTTTTAAGACACATGAACACAGACTAATTCTGCACAATCTGTCTTCCTACCACAGAGCTCTGGAGAAGTGGCTCAAGGAGGTGCAGAAGGATGGGAAAAGACAGGTCAAACTTACCCTGCTGCCCCTCCCTGTATCTCCTGCAGAGGCCTAAGCCACAGGATTTTAAGACACCTACTATGCAGCAGTCTTTAAATTTTATTCTTTTTTAAGATCCAGAACTTCATGTTTATCTGTATATATGCATGTATGTATGTGTACACACATGCCTCCAGAAGCCCACAGAGGCAAGAAGAGGGTGTCCAACCCTATTCCTGGAACTTGAGACACAGACAGTTGTAAACCACTTTATGTAGGTGCTGGGACCCAATCTCTGGTCCTCTGTAAGAGCAGTACTTGCTTTTGACCACAAAGCTATTTCTTCAGCTCTGGCAGTGATTTTTGTTTTGAGACAGTGTCTCACTATGTAGCTCAGGCTAGCCTGGAACTGGCTGTGTAGACCAGGATGGCTTCAAACTCACAGTGATCTGCCTACCTGTCTCCCAAATGTAGGGATTAAAAACATGTGTCATACACTGGGTGGTGGTGTTGTACACCTATAGTCCCAACACTGGGGGGAGGAAGCAGAGGTAGGTGGATCTTTGCATTTGAGGCCAACCTGGTCTACAGAGTGAGTTCTAGGATATCAAGGGCTACAGAGAGAAACTCTGCCTCAAAAAAATAGAATAAAACAAAAGGAAGCATGTGCCATCACACCTGGAGTTTTATTTTTTTTTATTATTGTAGCAGTGAATTTTTAAGTTTTTTTTTTTTGTTGTTGTTGTTATTCTTGTTTTGAGACAGGGTTTCTCTGTGCAGTGTTGGCTGTCCTGGAATTAGCTCTGTAGAACAAGCTGGCCTCAAGCTCACAGAGATCCACTTGCCACTGCCTCCCAAGTGCTAGGATTGAAGGTGTGTACCACCACTGCCCAGCAGCAGTGAATTTTTAAATCTAACACTGAGTATAACTACTGAGAAGCTGCAGGCCTATAGAGATATGCTAAACAGAGGTGTACAAATTATCCTGGTACAACAAAAATGATAAGTAACACTGTTTTCAAGACATCTAAGTTCTTTGGGAATGTTCAATAGGAATTGGAACATGGTGTCAAACTCAAATTATCCTCTGGCAAACATGTTAAAATGCCAGAACTATAGCTCTTAAGTCTCAGGTGGGCATGTAGCCTCTGAAGAGCCTTTGATATCACCTAGTTTAACAACTCCAGTTAAAGATTGAAGGGAGGCTCAGATGAGCTATGTGACTTGGTTTTCAAACGTCACTGAGGAAGCCAAAGTCAGAGCAAAAGGAAAACCAGCTATTTGAACTCTACCTGAGTCCTCTCCACTGCTTTGCTCATCAGTTTGTCTTCATGTGCACAGGCCCCAGGAGCCTCACCAAACTCTCCTTGCTCAAACCTCATAAGCCCGAGTCTCTCTTCTTTCCCATTCTTTTGGCCTTAGCCAGTGAAGCTGGACACCAAGGACACAATTCTCAGAATTGACAGCCTGAGCCCAGGAAGGCAGTGCTTCCTCCTCAGGATATGCACACACTGGGAAAGGAGGGAGAGGCTCGGAGGCAGGCAGGTAGCAGGAAGAATAAATCTCATTTCTGACAGTCACAAATCATTGGCTGTCACTGACACTGACAGAGCCTCTGATCTGGATTATAGGCAGTCTTGTTTCACCCAAATGCAGTGGGAACCAACACAATACCATTACGAATAATGAGGGTGGAGCCCTCCATAGCTCATGGAGAAAGAAGCCCCCAAAAGGAGGCTTAGAGATCTTCCCTGAAGCATGTCTAGGTGCCATTTCTTGTAACTTTCCTCAGTTTAGGAATGCGCTATCAACTCTTAAAACTTTCTTCCCAGGGTTCATTGGATTAAAGCATGTGATTAATACACTCAAAGGTGCTGGGTGGTGGTGGTAAGTGGCTTCAACCCTGGCACCCAGGAGGCAGAGGCAGGCGGATCTCTGTGAGTTTGAGGCCAGCCTGGTCTACAGAGTGGGTTCCAGGACAGACTCCAAAGCAATACAGAAAAACTCTGTCTTGTGTATGTTTCAATCATTCTAGATTTTTACAATATATAGCAAAAATAATAAATTAACTTTGACCCAGGAAGCTGTACATCTTCAAATAACCTAGGTGATTAAAATATTTGTGTTTTGTGGCCCACCAACTGAAACCACCATGTTACCCATAGGCAGTTTCTGACAGGTTACTGAGCACCTAACACACATACCAAATCACCTAACTGTACATGCACAAAGACTGACTTCTTCCCTTGACTCTAGAAAGGCAATGATAATTCTTTACATATTACACAAATACTCAATTTAGGCATATATATGCATTATTCATATAGCCTCTTCTTTACCTACTTAGCATACCCAATCTAGCTGCTGCATTTTCCTACACATACCCCAGATTTTCACTTGCTGAACTGGGCATCCACTGTGGAAATCCACAAACAGGAAAAGGAGCAAAGCCGGTCCCTGTGAGTCCATATACTGAGACTGATTCCCCTCACTGGACCCCACGTGATAACTCACATCTGGAAGCACCAAGTCTAAAGAAAAGATAAGACAAATTTGTAAAGTAAACCCCTTATACACTAACTGACCCAGAACCATAACCTGACCAAGAAGGAATTACTAGGTCTAAATTCAAACATTGAGCTCCACTTTTTAATCTGTTCCCTTACTCACATTATAGAAACAAAATAATATGCCTTATATAAAGAACATTAAAATAGCCCGGTATGTAAAAATACAAAGGAAATAGCACTCTTGTGCATTTGCTATGGAAGCATTATACAATAAATTCATTTATTCCGTGTGCAACTCTTTTTTTGAGAAGAATCGCTAGTGCTGGCTGGCCTGAACCTTGATATGCAGACCAGGCTGGTTTTGAACTTAGAGAATTCACCTATAAATTGCTGGGATTATAGGCATGAACCACCACACCTGGCCTTTTTGTGAACCTTTATTAAAAACAATTTATTTACTTTATTTTTTGTGCATTAGTATGAGAGTGTCAGATCCCCTGGACTTGGAGTTATAGACCATTGTGAACTGCCATGTAGGTGCTGAGAACTGAATCAGAGTCCTTCTCAAAAGCAGCAAATACTCATCACTGAGCCATCTCTCTAGCTCCTTTTTGTGGATCTTTCTTTTCTTTTCTTGTGTATACAGGCACTATTTGTCTGCATGTATGCCTGCAGACCAGAAAAGGGCATCAGATTGTGAGCTGCCATGTAGGAGCTAGGAATTGAACTCAGGCCCTCTAGAAGGGCAGCCAGTGCTCTTAACCTCTGAGCTATCTCTCCAGCCCCTCTTGTGGACCTTTCTAGGGTAGGTCTTGCTAGTAAGAGTCAGAGGTCAGATTCAAACTTGAGTAATGATATTCCAGGTAACTTGTGCTACATACCAGGTACCATGTTAAATTCCTTGTATGTTCTTTCTCAAGATTTAGACTTCATAAAATTCTTGAGTAAGGCCAATTGTTATGACAAGAAAAGATGTAATTGGAGGTTTCTGTTTACCCTGTCCCATAGCCGATTCCAAATAATCATTCAGAGGCTTATATTAACACTCAATCAATATAGCTCAGGCTTATTACTAGCTAACTCTTACAATTAAATTAACCCATTTTTCTATCTATGTATTTCCATGCAGCTCAAGGCTTGTTGTTACATCATTTTCTATACATCCTGCTTGCTGGGCAGCTGGCTGGCATCTCTCTTGTCACCACCCTTCTTCTCCCCATCATTCTCAGTTTGGCTTTTCTGCCTAACCTTATCCTGCCTGGCTATTGGTCAGTCAGCTTCTTTATTAAACCAATGAGAGCATAATTTATACAGTGTACGGGAATATTCTACATTCTGGTTAAATAGCTTGTCCTGTATGACCTTGCTAGATCAACTCCAAATCTGTGTTCTTATGTACTAGTTGGATCCTTTAAAATTCCATAAGGGCAATCCCACACCCAGATCCACAATGAAGAATATCTCCCTGTGGATCCTAGTCCTGTCCTTTAAGAATTGAGGAGGGAACAGTGTGGCAGCCTGCTCTTATAATCTTAGTACTTGGGAAACTAAATACTAATACAAGGATTATTATAGGACAGCCTATGATACAAAGTTTGACAGAGTGTGACCCTGTCTCAAAAAAGAAAAACAAAATAAATGTGAGAAATGAGGGGATATTTTCCTGTATTATTCATTTACAAAGTTAACTGACCAAAAACTAAGACACAGCTGATGTGGGAGGTCCTTCTGTATGCTGCAAATTTGTGTTGCTTTTATTGGTTGATGAATAAAGCTGTTTTGGTCAATGGACAGGTAAGATTTAGGTAGGTGGGAATTCTGAACAAACAGGCCGGGAAAAGAAAAACAAAAGAGAGACGCCATGAAGCACTGGAAGGCAGGATGCCTGGGCATTCTCCAGTAAGATAAGGCCATGTGGAGATCAATAGTTATGGGTTAATAGTTAAGAAGGAGTTAGCCAGTAAGAAGCCTAAGCCAATGACCAAACAATTATAAGTAGGTATTAAGTCTCAGAAAGGTTATTTCATAATGGCTTCAGGAACCTGATTGGGTGGAGAAGAACCAGTTCAGTGGAACCGAGACTACACGAAAAAAAATCTCCCAACACACAGTGAGCTGTAGAAACAATGGAAACCAATAAAGCTTAAAAATAACAATGAAAGGGGCAAAGAGATAATGAGGACTGAAGCTGTAGCTCTGTTGATAGAGTGTTGCCTAGCACACATAAAACTCTGGGTTCAATTCCTAGCACTGTATAAAGTAGGCATAGTGACACATGCCTGTAACCCAGCTCTTAAATGGTAGAAGCAGAAGTTCAAGGTCATTCTTGGCTTCATATCAAGTTGGAGGCCAACATAGGCTACAACAAGATGAATCTCAATTATTTTTTTTTTTTTTGTTTTGTTTTGTTTTTTGTTTCCTTAAAGATTTCTCTTTTTAACTATGTATAGTGTTCTGTCTGCATGTATGTCTACGCACCAGAAGAGGGCACCAGATCTCATTACAGATGGTTGTGAGCCATCATGTGGTTTCTGGGAATTGAACTCAGGACCTCTGGAAGACCAGCTAGTGTTCTTAACCACTGAGCCATCTCTCTCAGCCCCTTCAATTGTTTTTAAAAATAAGATTCCAGAAATCCAGTTAGGCCTCCCTTCTATTCAAGACCCATGACACCCCACTGGTTAAGACTGCAAATCATTTCCTCTCAAAACTACTTACTTCCAGAGTCTGTCCAAGAATGCTCCATCTCATCCCATCCTCTCCATACCTGTATTCTCAGGAACAAAGACCCTTCCCTAGAGGCTGATTTCTTAGATGCCCTCAAAATGCTGCTTTGTCCCAACATGTAGCAAAATTTTCATGCTAGTGAAAATCTTAGAACATTCCTTTCTCTACTGGCCATTTTTCCATTGGGCTCAATTAGTCAGACTCAGAACTGTAAACCTCCAAGATCTTCACCATGGTTATAGCCCTATTCCCCAGTTGTATTTATTGATTCAGTCATTAACCATTCAATTTCTGGTAAGGATGCTAATAGACTTATGTGTATGTGTTTGTGCACCCATGTGCTTTGGTGCATGTGTGGAAGTCAGAGAACAACTTGCAAGATAGCTCTCTTCTACCTTGTGTGTCCCAGGGGAAAAGTCAGGTCATCAGGGCTTGGTAGCAGGTACCTTTACCCACTGAGCCATCTTGCTGGTCCTAACCTTTCAACATTTAGTACAACTTATCCAAAATTAACAGGTAGACCCTACCTGAGTACCAGGGCCAGCTTTCTAGGTTTACTGTCATTAAAACTGGCACTTAATTTCTCCTCAGTAATTTTCTGCGCAGGAACACTCATTTCAATAGCAGTTATTTCTCTTCCATGTACAGAAGAGTGGTTGTTCCCTCATCTACTGTTCTAAAGCTCCCAAACTGACAAATGAAAATATGACAGAAACCTTCTGGGGAAGGCCCTGGGGAAAAGCATGCAAAGGGGGGCAGCAATGGAAGTGAGAGATGGGGTCAGACTCCACGCCAAAGCAGGCTCTCACTGCGCTTTGTGTGGAACACTAGAATGTGGTCAGATCACCATCCTCTTGTCAAGCCAAAATATTACTAGGTCCTATTTCACAGGCATCTGCTTATATATTCATTTCTCTAATTCTTTGGGTTTCTAGATTTTTATACAAGATATAGATACATACCTGTATCCAAATTGAGATCCAAAGTGGGTACCATAAATAGATTGTGTTTCTTCCAGTCAATGAAATAAGAAGTATCTCTGAAGATGGTGGTACTTGGCTGATCCTGATCTGCTATCAGAGGCAGACCCAAAGGTCCATATAGAAATATGTACAGCTGCTAAAGAAAACTGTCAAACTCTCTTACAACTATGTACTTGTATAAAACACACACAGGAATGAATATACACATACGCTATACAATTACAGTGTTAGCTTTTTCCACAAGACAAGTATGATGTACTGTAGTGAGGTAGTCCTTCTGTAGCACTGACCACGCCCATTGGGGGGTGGAGCGATGGGCGGAGGTGACCTGAGGAAGGAGGTCGGAGGGGGCCAGGAAGGCGCTCTCTTTCTGGCGTGACTCGGACAGGAGAGGATCGGGTTGAATTTCCTGGTGTTCATCTGTCTAGGTTGTAAGTTATTTCTCCCTGAATAAACATCTATTCGGCCTATTTGTTTATCCTGACCCTTATTTACCGCAATAATGTACCAGAGATCTATCAGGATCCTCAGACTTTTGCAGGGGGTTAATGAATGAAAATTTATTGATTCATCTTATTCATCTGATCATAAATTTGGGTGTCACCACAAGCTAAACACAATGCCATGTTCTGGAGGTATGAAGATGAGTAACTAGATTCTGTGCTCTCCAGTTTTACTATATTTTAATATGGCAGACACATCAAATCTAGTAAATTTCAATACAAGGCAATACATGCCTGGTAGAAAGGAATATTTCCTAAAAATAATTGAGTGCATTTGTATTGGGAGAAACTCTCATTTTATCTAACCCTGTTCTTCAACCAAGACAAAGGCTTGGAAATGATCAATCCCCTCTGGACTTTTTCTTTCTTGTGCTTGTTCCCCAAATAAGATTTCTCAATATGTATCAGTACTTGACACTTGGAGGCAGATGTTCCTTATTGGATGAGGGGCTGAATGAAATGTTTTGGAAAGTCACAGAACAAAGGGAAGCTGAACTCTCAAAGTCTCTCTCACAGATCTCAGCAGGCATTAGTACAGGAAGTTAGTCCACCACACTCATTGCTCATGGAGGAGGATCTTTAAGTTGCTTCACATATACAATGTGAATAAAAAACAGAGTGTCTGAAGTCTAAACATATGGTTGTCTTATGATTGGGTATTTTTTTCTGCATAGCTCTGGCTGTTCTGGAATTCAATCTGTAGGCCAGGCTGGCCTTGAACTCACAGAGATCTGTCTGCCTCTGCCTCTGCCTCCTGAGCTCTGGGATTAGAGGCATTCGCCACCACTGTCCAGCTAATGTTTTACTTTAAAAAAAAAAATCCTGCCTGGCGTTGGTGGCACACACCTTTAACCCCAGCACTCAGGAGGCAGAGGCAGAGGCAGGCAGATCTCTGTGAGTTCAAGGCCAGCCTGGTTTACAGAGTGAGTTCCAGGACAGGCTCTAAAGCTACACAGAGAAACCCTGTCTCAAAAAAAAAAAAAAAAAAGTTCCATTTTCATTTTATGGGTGTCTTGCTGTATGTATAGCTGTGTGACACATACAGGCAGTGCCTTTCAGGCCAGAAGAGGACATCAGATCCCCAGGAACTGGAGTTACAGACAGTTATCAACTACTATGTGGGAGCTGGGAATCAAACCCAGGCCCTTTGGGAGAGCTGCCAGTGCTCTTAACCACTAAGCCATCTCTCCAGTCCTGTATCCTTGGAGGCAGGGTTTCATGTAGCCTAGCTTGTCCTCAAACTATGTAATCAAGGATGACCTTCACCTCTGTGGGTACTGAGATTACAGGTATCTACCACTATACCCAGTTTATGTAGTACTGAAGTCCAAATGCAGGGCTTTGAGCTTGCTAGTCAAGCAATCTACCAGCTGAACTATATGCCAGCCCTTAATTGGACACTTAAAACCATTTACATTTAATATGAACACAGCCATGGTCAGACTTAAATTTATCCCCTTGTTATATGTTTTCCATTTGTTCTCATTACTATTTTTGGATTCTATTTTGGATTGAGAATTCTATCTCTGTTTAGACATATTAGTCATGACTCATTGCTTTAGGCTTTAAAATTACGTCAGGATTCAACAGTTGACATATATAGAAGAATCTAACAGTATACTTTCATTTCTTCCTGACTGGCTCCACGTTATTGTCAAGATTTGGAGGTGGATCAAGATATATCATATACATGCATGAAATTGTCAAAGAATACTTTGTTTTGTTTTCATTTTGGTTTTTTGTTTTTGAGACAGAATTTCTCTGTGTAGCACAGGCTATCCTGAAACTCACTCTGTAGACCAGGCTGGCTTGGAATTCACAGAGATCTGCCTGCCTCTGCCTCCTGAGTGCTGGGATCAAAGGTATGTATTACCGACACCTGGCCAATGATTACAAATTTTAAAGGATTTACTTAAGCCTTTTTTTTTTTTCTTTTTTTGATTTTTCAAGACAGATTTTTTCTGTATTGTTTTGGAACCTGTCCTGATACTAGCTCTGTAGATCAGGCTAGCCTCAAACTCACAGAGATCCACTTGCCTCTGCCTCCCGAGTGCTGGGGTTAAATGCGTGTGACACCAAAGCCAGGCGTCCTTAAGCATTTTTATAATACTGCTGTTTTTATAATTTTATAATTCACTGTTGTAGTGAATTCTTGACTCTTTTCAATGTCTGAAAAAAGTCTTACTCGAGAATTCACTTGTTTGGAGGTCCGGGTTCTGGGGGAGGTTCTCATTCTGTATCCCAGGCATTTTCCAGCTTCAGGATCCCATGTTCTAGCACTATAAGAATGAACCATCAGGACCAGCCTTGTCCTCACTTTGTGTGTCTGTGTGTGCATGATGTGTAGGTCAGAGGACAACCTTGGCTGTCCTTCAGATACCACCCACCCTGTTTTGAGACAGTGTCTTACTGGCCTCAACTTTGTCAATTAAGGGACAGCCAGTGAATCCAACGGCTCCACTCATTATTCAGAAAAATTTTAACTCCAATCTGATGCCATGAAATATGAATTTTTCCACTTATCCTGATGGGGATGGAAACTGTCCTGGCTTTGTGTGGGCCAGCACTGGCCTGACTGGAGCTCTGTATATGTGTGTTTGTCTTCAGCTTTCCTATAAGTTCAAACTGCCTGGCTCTCAAATCATCTCATCTCAGATCCACCAGTCTCTAGGTGAGTGTCCCTGCCTGCTCCACAGCCTGGACATTCTCCAGGAAGTCTGGCAATGCAATCTAAATTTTTCTTTAGAACAGTGTTCTGCACAAAGTGTTATATAACAGCCTTGACAGAAAAGTGGTCATTTAATTTGTGTTGAACAATTTTCTTTCATCCATAATTTGGGGGTTCTGTCTTATAGGGTCATTGTAGAGGTCAACTGGGATTAAAATAATGGTAATAGAAAAAGGACAGCATTTACTTTTATCATGAAAATTAGCTGATAGGAAAACAGCAAAGTTTAGGTCTTTCCACATCACAGCTGCTTATTGACGGTGTTGTTTGCCTTACAGAAGCTTTTGATTTATTAATTATCAGTTACATTTATTAATTATCAGTCTTAGTGACTGTGCTAGTGATGTTCTGTTCAGGAAGTTGTCTCCTGTGCCAATGCTTTCAAGATTATTTTCCCTTTTTCTTTTAACAGGTTTAGTGTGTCTGGATTTATGTTGAGGTCTTTTATCCACTTGGATTTTAGTTGTGTGCAGGGTGATAGATATAGATTGACATGCTGAGATCCAATCAGACCAGCACCATTGTTGAAGACACTTTCTTTCCTTTTTCCATTGTATAATTTTGGCATCTTTGTCAGGTGTTCATAAGTATGTGGGTTTCTGTGCAGTAAGAGCTGATTATAAAGCATGATGGGATACTGATGAGGCACAAAGGAGGTAGGGAATGACCCATAATAATAAAAATATATTTACTTACCTTGTGAACAACATTAAACACCTCTGATTTGTGGTAATAAGTTAAAATATTATTGACAATCAGGACTGCTGGTGATGGTTCACGCCTTTAATCCCAGGACTCAGGAGGCAGAAGCAGGTGGATCTCTGTGAGTTTGAGGCCAGCCTGATCTACAGAGTGAGTTCCAGGGCAGCCAGGACTACATAGAGAAACCTTGTCTCAAAATATATATATATATATTGGTAATCCATCCATTTCACTTGTCAAGTCCCCCAAAGCATGTAATGTCTGATGGCACCAATTTGACTGCACATGGAAGTTAACCTGGGAAGCTGCACACGGCCATTCATGCCTACATAGCATACATGTTTGTGTTGTGTGGTATTGCAATACAATGTGGTCATCTACAAAATCCCCATTGTTATACAAACAACAAGGTAAAACTTAAGATGTTTTAAGTAAGTTTACAATTTTGTGCTGGGCCACATTCATAGCTGTCCTGGGCCACAAGATATCACAGCTGTGGGTGGGACATCCTTGTGTGAGGAACTTCACATGGGTTATATTTCTGTATGACAGCAGGAGAAAATCAGTCCACAAGATACTCTCCTCTTTACTTTAAAGCTGAGGAAGTGAAGGTTTAGGCTGGCTAAATCAGTTGCTTCTATTGCACAGCATTTACAGTCCTGTGTCCCAGTCTCAACAAGAACATTTATTCATGGGATAAACTAGGGGTGGTGGCTCACATCTATAATCCTAGCACTTGGGAGATGGAGGCAGAAGAGTCATAAGTAAATCTAAGGCCATCCAAAATTACTGAGTTTGAATCCAGCCTGGGATATAAGAGATCCTTTCTTAAAAACAAACAAATAAGGCTGGAGAGACGGTTCAGGGGTTAAGAGCACTGACTGTTCTTCCAGAGGACCTGAATTCAATTGCCAGCAACCACATGGTGGCTCACAACCATCTATAATGAGATCTGGTGCCCTCTTCTGGCATAGAGATTCGTGCACTCAGGACACTATATATAATAAAAATAAATCTAAAAAACAAAAACAAATAATACCACTCCTTGCTTCAGGCTCTCCCAACTTCAGTAATGAATATTGGTTTTTTTATATTAAGTTCTTCAAGTGTTAACTCTTGCCTTTCTATACACCTAGTTTTAACTGAGAACTTATTATCTCTTGTTCCACCTCACTCACTTATTTAGTAATTACTACTTTTTCTCCTGCAGCACTCTGAACATGCTGTGAAACACCATAGAGAAGGCAGGGCACATTCCTTAGTAAGGCACACAAGATCTACCACACTCGACTCCAACCATATTTTCTGGTCTCATCTCTACCATTCACTATCTGTTATAGTCTTCAGTTCTTTGGCAAATACTTCAGACCTAGCATTCACATTGGGTTGCCTTTATACAAATCATACAGTGTTACAGATAAATAATTCATATATGAAGACTTAATTAGAATTAAAAAAACTCATTTTCAAAGGCAATTGGATAGAACCTGTCAAAAGGATATGGAAACTGAAGAAATTGTATGCAGTTGGCTGGAGAAGACCTTGGGGCTGGGCCACAGAGCAGCAGCTGGAGTCAGTGTCAGTCCTCCCAACAAGCCCAGGTCAGCCATGCCATCAGGGATGAATAGCTGTGCCGGGTGTCCTAGCACAGGGTGGATTCTGCTGCAGTGTGATTCAGCTGAATTCAATTTTGGCTTGCTATTAAAAACATGCAAGACAAATTTGACTTTTTCTTCAAGAAATTATTTAATGGGCATTTAAATTTTCTTAACTGCTCAGTATACACTTAGCCATATTGCCCTCCACATCATCTTAGCTGCAAAGGTCAGAAAAATTGGCATTTCAAAGACTATATCATGGCCCCTGTTTTTGTTGTCTCTCAAAATAGTTTCTTGTTCTCAAATTGAATTTTCTTCATTACTATTATACTCTATGGTTCCAAGCATATGTTTACAAAATCAAAGATCAGCATTGTGTGTGACAACAGTGAGCAAATGGCCTAAAACTGGCCCCGTGGCACTTAAGAGTCTGCTTCTGTGCACACTATATTTTCCTTGACTTAGGACTGAACAATGAGAAAAATTAGCCTCTCATTCTCTCCAACGAAGAACGTAGCTGATTTGTTTTCATCCTACAGTTCTCTTATAAACAAAATAAATACAAGAAAAGAAGAGAGAAGAGGGGAATTGGAGGAGAGGAGAAGGGGGAGAAATAGGCAAGGAGAACATTTCTAGCTTCTACCTCACATAATGCTGAAAGCCCACAACAAGAGTGATGCCATTGGACAGTCTCAAAGTAGGTTCCTTCTCTGCCCTGCAAAACAAAACAAACAGTCATCTCTGAAATCAGTCTCTAGTTGGCTCATGACTACTATCACCCAGAGACCACTGGAATTCAGCAACCAAAGCTAAAGAAAAAAATCACAACTTTTAAGCTCATTCCTCTCATGAAAGGGAGAACCATGTAAGGTTAGGACAAACATATTTATTGGTTAAAAGCTAATATAGAATAAGAAATTGTGAGGGTCTCAGGACTAGTTTCAAGGAGATTTTGGGCTAAGAAATCAAACTATAAATCTGTTGGAAACACAAGGCAATCATGCTTAAAAAATCATTCAGAGCCATAAAATCGTTTACAGACCCAAAGATCTCTGCAGAGTGGATCCCATTCACCGTTAAACTGAAATTAAACTGGAGCTGCAAAACAACAAAGGGTAAGGTTTCATACTAGTGCACACCCGGAGCACAGAAGTGTTGCTGCTCACACACCCAACCTTCAGGACCTGAAGAGGTAGCAGTGGAAAGCAGGGATCCCACCACCTAGGATTTAAAACCTCCCCTCCCCCACACATTAGAACCCCACTAACACTGAAGCTTCAGAGGCCAATACCCTTTCCCTTGGCCCCCACAGCACCACATGGAACAAGCTAGAGTCAGAGAGACTCTGAGAACTTCATTTTCACTCAGCACAGTTGTGCAATCAATTCACTCCATAAAAACTCTTACTTCCTTTTTACCCCTGCTCTGTGTAGCCTTGGCTGCTTTGGAACTTGCTTTGTCATCAGGCTGACCTCAAACTCACACGGGTCCCCCTGCCTCTGCCTACCAAGTGTTGGGATTAAAGGCATGCGCCACCACCTCTGGGCAAGACTCTTATCTCTTACTTTCTGTTATTTCTCACTCTTGCATTTATGTCTTGGAATGATTTTGCTTTTGTTTATATTGTTCAGTTTGGTTTTAGGACTGTTTATGCTTCTCACTCTGCTTACTCCAAGGCATAATCTACTATGTTCCTCACCTGCATCTCTTATGCTCCCCCTCTTATTGCTCTTCCTCTTCCTCTCATCCTTATTCTCTCATTGTAGTTCTTAATTGTAATCTTTCAGATTTAACAAGCCCAACTTCCCCCTCCCTGGTGTCGTAATTTAAGAAAAGTGGCACTAGAGAGGAAGACACCATTCGACAGTCTTCAAGCAGAGGGTTTTATTAGGGAAAGGGATCATAAAAAGGGGAAAGAGAAGGGTGAAGACCAGCCTCTGGAGACAGGAACAGCAGGAGGGAGGAGAGAAGGAGAGAGAGGAACAGACAGAGAGAAGGGAGAGAAAGATAGAAAGAGAAGGATGGGAGGTGGGCAGGGCCCTTTTACAAGGGGACATAGCGAATATGCACAGGTAGTGCTCTTAGTGGCTGCAGCTGAGGGGGTATTCTGTCGGGACCCCAAGGACAAACCAATATAGATGCCTGAATACTAACACCTGATACTTTACCTACACAATTTTTTTCAAAGTTTCATCCTTAATTCTTAGCCTTACCCACTCTCCTCTCCCACTTTTAATCTTTTACAAATCAACTTTAAAAATTTTTAATTATCTGTATATGTTCATATTGGTGCAGTGACATTAGAGGCCAGAGAGGGTGTCAGATCCCCCGAAGCTGGAGTTACAGGTAGTTATGAGCCACCTGATATGAGTGCTGGGAACTGAACTCAGGTCCTCTTGCAAAGCACATCATTTTATAAAATATTAGAAGTGGGAGGGAAGACAATGTGTGCTTAATCACAAAGCAATCTCTTTTGTTCCAAACTCATCATTTTATTGACTAAAATCAAAGTAGAATCCATACTATTATTGGTTGTTTACCTCTAGCAATTATGAAGGGCCCGCTGTTGTTGATTGGCTAGAATGGCATTTGCATAGCAATAAAAAGCAGCTGGGCTGTGGTTGCTCTTCCAGTTAGTATCCTAAGAATATAGAATTTATTATGCCAGGCACCCTTGAGCTTCTGGACTGAGGTATTATTCTCTAAAGTACATATTGAACTCTATCACATCCAAGTCCTACTTGAAAATTGCAAATACTTCAAGTGAAGCAATACAGCTGATTAAAAAAAAAACAATGAAATAGCACCAGATAAATCAACACATTAACATAAGAAATAGAAATGACTAAGACATTATAACTCCTCCAAAATTACTAGTCCTATAAAATTCTATCTAAGGAAAGTGATATCCCAGACAGAACTCATTATAAGTGCTCAAAGACACAAACAGATGGATGAAATAAGGAAGGCAATGAATGATATAAAAGAGGGATTCCAAAAAAAGAAATACTGCAAAACAAAATAAAACAAACAAACAAAAACAAGCTGAAACACTGGATAGAAAAAACAGTAAGTCAAAAAGTCAAATAAAAGAACTCTGGAAAGTTTCTTCAAATAATGGGTCATGGAGAGAACAAATGTCTGCATGTAAAGACAAAGCGAGAAATTGCAATAATTCAACAAGGATAGAGATAAAATAAGAAGAAAATGCCATCGAAAAGGTACACACACACACACACACAGACACACAAACACACACACAAACAAATAAACCACACCAGAATAACAGTTAAGTGAGAATAGGAAAAAAATACTACAAAAAAAATTTGGCAGGAATCAATATACATCTCTCATTAATAGTCTAAATATTAATGATCTCAATTTCCTCCCAAAATGAAAAGACTGGTATATTGAACCAAAAACTAGGAACCATTTATTTGTTGGCTCCAAAAACTTCATCTCAAACTGGACAGTGGTGGTGCATGCCTTTAATCCCAGCACTCAAGAGGCAAAGGTAGGCAAATCTTTGTGAGTTCAAGGCCAGCCTGGTCTTTGAAGAATGGAAAAAGGAGTTCCAAGTAAATGGACCTAGGAAATAAGCAGGTGTTGTTATTCTAATATCTGAACAGACTTAAAAAAAAAACTAGTGAGAAAAGACACATGAGGTCACTGATTAAGGAAAAAAAATCTGTCAAAAGGATATAACAATTTAAACTTGTTTGTTCCAAATACAGATGCACACAATTTCATAAAACAAATGTAAGTAGATGTAAAGTCACAGATTAACTCCAGCACAATAGTAGTGCGACCTTTAGTACTCTTGCCAACTGACAGGCAACCACAACAAGAAAATAAATAATCTGACTCAAATGATATCACAGATAATTAATTTAACAAAAATCTACAGAATATTCCATACCCAAAATTGCAGGATACAGAGCACCCTACGGAACTTTCTCTAAAATATAACATAGGTTAGGACACAAAGTCTTAAAAAATACAGGAAAACTGAATTTCTTGTGTTCTATCTGATCACAGTGGACTAACACTACACACCTACAACAAGGAAAACCCTGGAACACATGGAGAGCAAACAACACACTACTGAATGATGAATGGTCCTTGAAGAAATCAAGAAGGAAATAAAGACATTTCTAGAGACAAATGAACACAAGATTTATGGGATCACAGTCCTAAGAGAGAACTTTGAAGTTCTATGTGCCTACATTAAGAAATCAGAGCATCTGGGTGGTGGTGGTCCACAACTTTAATCCAAGCACTTGGGAGGCAGAGGTCTGAGGACCTCCTTGAGTTCAAGACCAGCCTGGTCTACAGAGTGAGTTCCAGGGCATCCAGAGCTACACAGAGAGACCCTGTCTTGAATCCCCACCCCCAAGAAAAGAAATCAAAGTAATCTCAAGTGACTTAACAATATGCCACAGAGAAATAACAAGCCCCAAGTCAACAGAAGAAAAAAGTCACTTATGATCAGGACAGACATTAACTACATGAAAACGATATATATATATTTGGACCTTTGAGAAGATAAACAACACATAAAGTCCTAGCCAAACTGACCAACAGAGAAGACTAAAATGAATAAAACTAGAGATAAAAAGGGAACCTTTACAACAGATGTCTATGCAATTTAGAGAATCATTAGGTCTTATCTAAAAAAAAATTATATTTCTCTAAACTAGAAAACCTAAAGCTCATGATCAACCAAAATTAAATCAAGGTGAGCCTGGCATGGGGGAACTACCTTTGATCCCATATTCAGGAAGCAGAAGCAGACAGACCTTTGAGTTTTAAGCCAGCTTGGTCTACATAGCAAGTTTAGATCAGCCAGGGCTACTCAGTGAGGTTCTTTTTTGTTTTTGTTTTAAAGAAACTATAGATAAATTGATACTATTTAAAGAATGAACAACTTTACCTTGTGATGAACTATGATGATTTTTCGTAAAAAATGTTTTATAACCAGACAGTCTGTCATAAAACGTTGAGGACTTTCATCAATCTGTAACAAGAAAACACAGCCTATAACTCCATATATGTAAACCCAACAGAACAAATATGTTAAATAGGCATTCTTCCTATAAAAGTAAATATTCAGGGTATCCCAGCCCACAACTCCACCGGAAGACCCTGTTCCACCAGGTGTCAAGTTGGCAGCCAGAACCCCCCACCCAACTCTCTCAGTGCCTTTCCAACCCACCCCAGATCAGTCCTCCCCTTCTTGTTACCATATCCTGAACTCTGGAGGACCCTTGGATGGACTAAAGGACACATCAGCTGCCAGAACTTCAGCTCCCAATTCAGGTGGAAACTCCCTGCTCAACCAGAGGCCACTCGGCCATCAGAATTCCAGCCCCCAACTTGGGTGTAGACTAATCTACTCAAGCACAGGCCATTCCAGCCAGAAGACCAGAGAGGAAACAGAAACCAAGGGAATAAATCACCTATCCAACAAAGGTAAACTCAGAAATCAGCACCTAGACCTATAATCATCTCAAACCCAGATGCCTAGATGCCAGTATAAGAACACAATTGGCAACAGCCGGGGCAATATGTCACCATCGGAGCCCAGCTATCCTACTACAGCAAGGCCTGAATATTCCAACACAGCTGAAGCTCAAGAAAATGACCTTAAAACAAACTGTATGAAAATGATAAAGGTCCTTAAAGAGGAAATTAATAAATTCCTTTAAGAAAGCCAAGAGAAAACAAACAGTTGAAGGAAACAAATAAAATTGTTTAAGAACTGATACTGGAAATAGAAGCAATAAAGAAAATACAAACGGAATTCTGGAAAATCTAGGTAAGCAAACCGAACTACAGACATCATTACCACAGCAAACATTACTAACAGAATACAAGAGATGGAAGAGAGAATCTCAGGCATTGGAGACATGATAGAAGAAATAGATACATGGGTCAAAGAAAATGTTAAATCAAAAAAAAAAAAAAATCCTGATATAAAGCATCCAGGAATAGAAGAAGGAAAAAAATCTCAGCTCAAAAGCCCAGAAAACATTTTTAACAAACTCATAGGAAAATATTTCTCTACCTGGGCGTGGTGGCAAATGCCTTTAACCCCAGCACCCAGGAGGCAGAGGCAGGTGGCTCTCTATAAATTCAAGGTCAGCCAGGTCTACAGAGTGAGTTCCAGGACAGCCAAAGATACACAGAGAAACCCTGCCTTGAAAAAAATTATTTTTCCTAACCTAAAGAAGGAGATACCTATAAAGGTACAACTAACAGAACACCAAATAGATTGGGCCAGAAAAGAAAGTCCCCTTGCTACATAATAATCAAAACACTAAACATACAGAACAAAGAAAGAGTATTAAAAACTGCAAGGGGAAAAGTCCAAGTTTACCTCCTGAAGAGGCCAATTTGGATGCCAAGATTCTGTTGCAATTACTGTTACATCAGCATCTGTGTCTATAAGGCCTTCAATGACAACATCATTTATTCATATTTTTAATTTTGGTCTTTGTTCATTTATAGAAGCTTGCCAAAATATTTGCTTTATGATTTCTCCTGAATTTTTGTTCTCTCTTCTATAGCTAGTCTATTATCCAAAGCAGTATTTTTTCTTACACTAGACATTAGGTTCTTTAATTGCTCTGGGGAGGAGTCTCTTTCATGGTGACAGGAAATGACTGAATGGAATTTGGCATGGGAACCTGTGAGAGACCCTTCAAGGTATTTCCCAATGGCAAAGGGTTACCTTGTTGATCTACATTGATTAGTCCAATGCTTACCCATGCCATACCTTCTGCATAATCCAGAAGGGAAGGGCATTCTGTTTGGATTATGCTTTGAATAAATATTATTTCTAGGAAAATCCTGTTTACAATCCCTTTTTGGGTGACCTTGTTTGCCACAATTGAAACACTTGATAGTTTGATTTTTCTTCAAACCTTGGGAAATCATCTCTCTTATCCAAGCATCATCATAGTCATAAGATGCATTATTGATTGTATTTTTGATCCATTCCTCCAGGGGTGCTAATCTTGCCTTTAATGGCCTAATCACCCTTTTGCATTGTGCATTAGCATTTTCAAAAGCCAAAGATTTAATTATTATTTGTCTAACTTCTGAATTTTGTATCATTCTATTTACTGATGAAGCCAGCCTTTGTAAGAAATCTGTGAGGGTTTCTTTTGGGCCCTATATAACTTTAGTATATGACTCAATTTTCTTTCCTACTTCTTCAATTCTGTCTCAAGCATTCAAAGTGCTGTGCAGCATAAAGCCAGGGTATGGTCATTATATAGAGATTGATTTGTATATCAGCTTAATCTTCCTCTCCAAGAAGTTGGTCTTCAAAGATTTCCATACCTCTAGTCCTATTTTGTGGTTCAATGGTCTTAACATCATCTTTTCACAGATCCTCCATTGTAATTGAGGGCCAGGCTCCAAGACTGCTATAATCAAGTCTTTCCAGTATTGAAGGGACAATTCTTTTACAAACTGGCCACGAATTTAATATCTGCATGCCATTTGAGACTACCTCTTCCTTGAATCTCCTTAAATCTAACATCTCCACAGGAGTCCAATCAGCTCTTGCATAGCCTTGGGGATATCTACCATTTGGCAGTTGTTCCTGTAATGTGACTGGATAAATTAAAGTTGGTTGTTTTAAAACTTTAGGCTGTTCCTTTATAACCTTATAATGCAACACTATTACCTTTCCTTTAAATTATTTGTCTGGGTCTGAATATCTCTATGGTCTGTTTTATAAAGTTTTTCTAAGGCCTGTATCTTGGCACTCATATCAACAAACTTTTTTTTTTAGAGATAAACCAAGAAATATCAAACTGACAATAAGGATTATCAAAATGATAATTAACATTATGTCAATCCCAGTTTAGTTGATTATTCATTAAATTGCTCCAATTTAAAATCATGCATTGAATAATCATACAGAGACCTAACTCTCTCCATTTTAATGGTGTTTTTGTTGTTGTTGTCTTTTGAGACAGGGTTTCTCTATGTAGCTTGTAGTCCACACTGGCCTTGAACTCACTGAGATCCACCTGCCTCTGCCCCCTGAGTGCTGGGATTAAAGGCGTGTACCACCACTGCTCGCCACGTTTCCTCTTTTTAAATGTGGAAAAAACTCCCTCTTAACTAACTCTTCCTTTTAAGAATTCCCAATTGTTTCACCAAATCTGTTGATGATGCTGATTCAGATGATGGTGAAATGTGAAACAGATTGTTGATGGCGTATAACAGTAGAACCAGAGCAGCCAGGTGGTGGTGGCGCACTTGGGAGGCAGAGGCAGGTGAATCTTTGTGAGTTCGAGGCCAGCCTGATCTACAAGAGCTAGTTCCAGGAAAGCCTCAAAAGCCACAGAGAAATCCTGTCTCAAAAAACCAAAACCAAAACAAAAACAAAAAACAAAACAAAACAAAACAAAAAAACCCAAAAAACCCAACAACACAAACCAGTAGAACCAGTAGAACATGTCAAGGCACCTACCTAGATTGGCAGCACCCAAGGAAGCCTACAATCCATGGGAGGGGGAGGGAGCTGGCTGTCTGAAAAAAATGCACACAGGAGTTGTGCAAAAGTACAGGGGCAGGAGTGTGTGGTGGGAGGTGCTGCCGAGAGGCTGCAACAAAAAGAACTTTCCAATTTGCTCAGAGTCTTGGGAGAAAAAGACGAAAAACCTAGCCAGGGGAGTGGTGACTCTAAAGAGAGCAATGCTTGCAGCTGTGACCTGTGCCGGTGGCTGCAGAGCCACAAGCACGTGGCTTGTGGATCCGTGCCCAAAAGCTGGGTGCTAGATATAGTTCGAGCTCTAGTTGGCCTTAGTAATAAAAACACAGAGGCAGATATCTGGGGGTGAAAGCTGAAAGATCAGAGAAGCAGAGCATCCAGGTACTAGAACTCTTACCTCTACAAAATCCTCATACTGAAAAGAGACTGAGCTCCTGTCTATTCCCTTATTACTTCCTCTCTCTGCCCAGCCATCTCACTTCCTGTCTGTCTGTACAGACCTAGATGGTTAACTAGTGGCTAGCTCTGCCCTCTGATTATCACCACAGGAAATTATCTTCAACACATTGGCACAGGAAACAACTTCCTGAACAGAACACCATTTGTGCAAGCACTGAGATCAATAATTATAAATGGTACCTCACAAAACTGAAAAGCTTCTATAAAGCAAAGGACACCATCCATAGGACAAAATGGCAGCTTACAGAATGGGAAAAGATTTTTCACTAACTCCACATCTGGCAGAGGAATGATATCCAAAATACATAAAGAGGGCTGGAGAGATGGCTCAGAGATTCAGAGTACTTTGCTGCTCTTCCAGAGGTCCTGAGTTGGATTCCCAGAAAACACATGGTGATTTATGACCATCTATAATTGGTTCTGGTGCCCTCTTCTGACCTGTAGGTATACGTACAGACAGCATTCATACATAATAAATAAATCTTAAAAAAAAAAAAAAGACCCTGTCAGAAAAACCAAAATGAAAAAACAAAAACAAAAACAAAAAAACCAAAAAATAAAACTTAAAAAAATACATAAAGAACTCAAGAAACTAGAAATCAAAAAACAAATAATCCAATTAAAAACTTCTGTACAATTCTAAACAGAGAATTTTCAACAGAGGAGTCTCAAATGAATGAGAAACACTTAAAGGAATGTTCAATATCCTTAGCCATCAGGGAAATGCAAATCAGAACTACTTTGGGATTCTATCTTACACTTGTTAGAATGGCTAAGATCAAAAACACAGTGACAGCTCATGCTGGCAAAGATGAGCAAGGGGAACACTCCTCCATTGCTAGTGGGAGAACATTCACTATGGAAATCAATATGGTGGTTCCTCAGAAAATTGAGATGGGGATCTACCTCAAGACCCAGCTATAAAGGAATAAAGGCCGCATGGATCAGAAAAAAAAAAAAAAAAAAAGACCCAGCTATACTACTCTTGGGCATATAGCCAAAGGATGTTCCATCCTACCACAAGGACACTTGCTCAACTATGTTTG